GAGGCCTTCCCTCTGCTGAAGAGTTTTGATGTTGACTCTGCATGGAATGGAGGGACACGGAGGTTCTGGGGGACACAGAAGCCTTTGATCAGTGGACTGACACGATTAGAAGAGTTATCGGGTGCAGTGCATGAACAGACTGCAGGTGGGGAGACTGGTGCTGTCCCTTCTCCGACTCAGAGAAGCCAGCTCTCCCTTGACTGCTGGTTCTGCGGGAGGCTCTCTGGCCTTTCTTTCCCCTCAAGGGAAGTCAGCCAGTCCTTACCTGCAGTTTGAAAGCACGTTTTTCTAATTGAAAGTGTTGTGCTTATCTTTATGATTTATGGCTTGTTTATATATATATTTTTTAGTTTGTTTTCCTGAGTAGATTTTGAACATGTTGAAATTGGATTGTGGATTACTTTGTTTTATAGAGCTGGGACCCAGCCCAGGGCTGGTGCCAAGTAGGGGATCAGGAATGTTCCATGAAGGAGATTGACTGGGGCAGTGTGTTGTGAGTGTAAAGGGCGGGGTGGCCGTGGGGAGTGTCCAGGAAGTGGAATTAATGACCACTTGGATGTAGAAATGAGGCAAAGAGGGGAGTCAAAGGCGACTTTGAGACTTCTTCATCGGGCCTCTGAGGGATGCCATTCAATGAGATTCGGAACCCAAGGGAAAATATTTGAGGAGGGATGAAAACTCCAGCTCTGGGCACTTGTTAAAGAAAAATCTATTAAACGCTCAGATATACAAGGGACCATGCCATGTGATTCTGAGGTGATTAGGTCAGAATACCTGAGTGATCCTCAGTCTCTTGAGAAATAGCCACATGACAATTCGGTGTGTCACAACAGGTGTGAGCACAGTGCTGTGGTGGATGAGACAACCAAGCCACTCATTCTGCCTGTCGAGTCAGGGATGACCACTCGGAGTGACAAATGTGCTGAATCTTGAAGTTTGCCAAGCCAGAAGGAGCATTCCAGGTATGTAGAGGGGAAAGCACATGCAGAAATACAGTGATGAGAATATTCTAGAATGCTTAGGGAGCAGGGGGAGATTGGGCATGGCTCTAGAGAAAGAGCCGGTGAGCCATGGGTGCGGGTGGGGTGGGGGACAGGGCCAGAGCTGTGTTGTGACACAGCTTGCTTGCTCAGGAATTTGGTGTCTTTCTTGTGGTCAACAGGGGGTCAGAGGGTATTTCTAAGCAGGCAGGTGACATGGTCAAACTCGTTTTAGAAATAAAGCACTGGCCTCAAGTTAGCTACAGGCCAGATGGGCTTGAGGAAGGAGACCCCTTGGGCCGTTATTGCAATGATTAGATACCGAGCAGAGAAGGACTGAGGTGTGGGTAGGGCAGGTGCACAGTAGGCAGGGGGTTTGAGAGCAGCCAGACTTAGGGAGGGAGAGAAACTGGGCTTTCAGTACTGGGCCCTAGGAGGGTGGTGACATATCTACAGGCCACCTACATGGAACCATCGATGTGGAAATACCTGTTGGAACAGCTGTGGATTTAAGAAACTGTTTGGTGTCAGAACCCTTTTACACTCTTAAAAATTATTAAGGACCCCAAAGAGCTTTTGTTTATGTGGGTATTATCTATCTGTTGCTATGTACTTTTTTAGAAACTAAAACTAAGAACTTAAAAAAAATCCATTTATTTAAGAATAGTAAACCAACCAAATGAACATAAGGAACATGTTTATGAAAAATAACTATTTTCCAAAACAAAAATATTAGTAAGAAGATTGGCACTGATTTACATGTTTTTTTTTTTTTTTTTTAAATGACCAGTAAAGGGATCCCAACCCTTGACCTGGTGTTGTCAGCACCACACTCTCCAAGTGAGCGAACTGGCCATCCCTATTTAGGGAGCTGAACCCGTGGCCTTGGTGTTATCAGTACCACACTCTCCCAAGTGAGCCACAGGCCCGCCCTCAATTTACATTTTTGCAAATCTCTTTACTGTCTGGTTTCATAGAAGAGAGCTGGATTCTCGTATCTACTTCTGCATTCAAACTGTTGCAATATCACATGACATGTACCTTCTGAAATATTCAGTCGTACACTTGTGAGAAGATGAGTGTGATGAAATAAACAAATGACATCTTAGCCTATAATTAACATTATGAAAATAGGTTTTACCTTGCAGACTCCCTGAAAAAGTTGTGAGGTACACCAAGGTTTCCTGGACCATACTTTGAGAATCACTGAAGTAGACACTGAGCAAATGTCTGTTTAAAGGTAGTGTTCTGAGTTCCCATAGCACTTTATCTACATGTTGTGCATGACATTTATCTCACAGATTTAAAGCTGTGTGTGCCTGGCGTTCAGTAGGAAGTCTGACCTACAGACGTGAAATTGTGAGCCCGTTGGAATGCAGGGGCTGGTAGAGGGCTTGGGCAGGACCCCAACACTGAAGGACTGGCAAAGACTAAGGAAAGGGCTGCAAAGACTTAGGAGGAGAATCAGGCCAAGTTGCACAACCTAAGGGAGCCGAGAGTTTCAAAAAGGGGGCAGTCCAGGGCCGCCTGTGGCTCACTCGGGAGAGTGCAGTGCTGATAACACCAAGGCCACGGGTTCGGATCCTATATGGGGATGGCCGGTTAGCTCACTGGCTGAGCGTGGTGCTGACAACACCAAGCCAAGGGTTGAAATCCCCTTACTGGTCATCTTTAAAAAAAAGAGGGGAGGAGTCCATACTTTTTTGACTTAAAATAAGTCAGAGAATGGTCTACAGTACCAAAAAATGGCAGAGAGGTTGTATAAGGTAAAGACTGAAGATGCTGTTGGGTTTGGTAGTTAGGAGGGGACTGGTGACACTGGGGGCAGTTACAGCAGAGGTGCCCACTGTTGGTGGGCCAAGGTGGAGTGGGAGGTTAGTGAGCAGGGGCTGGAGCCGAGACTGCTCTGTCCAGGAGGAGGGTTGTAAGCTGCCCTTCACCTGCTGGACCTGGCACTGTGAGTTCTGTTCCAGCCCCTGCTCTGCAGAGAGAGGCCCCGCTAGAGAACAGGAACCAGTGGAGAGGTGTGAATGCTGCATACTCAGATAGGACACTAGGAACTGGAAGTAAAGAACCTGCAGTACTAGAAGAGGATGGGGTAGAAAGGGAGATGTGCAAGAATGGTCACTGAGTGTGAATCGTAACAGTGAAAAATGGAAGACAGCCTAAATTTCCATAGTTTGACATGTTAAACCCTGGAGAACACCATTCATTCATTCTTCATTCAACAAATGTGCACTGAGATTCACCTGTGCCAGGCACTGTGCTAAATGCTGCAGAACAGGTAAACTGGCTTGGGAGGATGTCCAAAATACATTTTTAATAAGAAAAGCAAGCTGCTGAGTACTACATGTAGTATGACACCATTTATGTAAAAACAAAACAACACTAAAATAACTTATGTGTATATCTGTTAGATATACAAATAAATGTAGAGAGAAAGTGCTGGAGAGATGCAAACAAATACAGATGCTCCTTGCCTTACAATGGGGTTATGTCCCGATAAACACAAGGTAAATTGAAAACATTGTTAAGTCTAAAATACACCTAACCTACCGAGCATCACAGCTTAGTGCAGCCTACCTTAAACATGCTTAAACACTGCATTAGCCTACGGTTGGGCAAAATCATCTAAAACAAAGCCTATTTTATAATTAATGTTGAGTATCTCATGTAATTTACTGAGTACTATACTGAAAGTGAAAAACAATGGTTGTATGAGTGCTCAAAATATGGTTTCTACTGAATGCGTATTGCTTTGGCATCATCGTAAAGCTAAAAAATCGTAAGTTGAACCATCATCAGTTGGGGATTGTCAGGGAGCAGGGGAGGCAAGTGGGATTTGGGGTATATATGAAGAAACATTGTATCCTTTTATTCTTGATACTTCTGCATTGCTTTAATTTTTCACAGTAAATATGTTTTCATGATTATATATTTTTTAATGTTTTTTGAAAGATGTAGCTCTTTTCGGGTAGAAAAGAGAGAGGGACCCATTCTGTCCAGAGTGTTCCTATTGGCTTAATCCTCTTTTTTTTGAAAACATGTCAGGCTGCAGCCCCTTCCCCCGCCACTCCACAGGTGTAGACCAGGCATTGATGCCAGATGGGAAGGATCAAATTTGGGTTAGGGCTTTCTGTTTTAGAGGTTCAGTATGGGCTGAAATAATTGCTAGGGAAAGCTGGTGCACAGAGCTGAATTTGGGTCGAGCATTGCATTTCTGGGATGGAATTCACCAGGGGCATTTCCCCCTGTTTAAGCCACGGGGGCTGGACTTGTGTAAGTTTGCTAGGGCTGCCATAACAAAGCACCATAGACTGGGGCCTTAAACAAAGGAAGTTCATTGTCTCACAGTCCTGGAGGTGGAAGTCCGAGATCCACATGTCTGCAGGTGTCAAGAGGCTTCTCTCTGTGGCTTGCAGATGGCCATCTCCCTGTGTCCTCACATAGTTGTTCCTTTGTGTGTGTCCAAATGTCTTCTTCTTATAAGGACACCAGTCATATTGGATTAGGGCCCACCCTAATGACCTCATTTTAAAAGCCTGTCTCCAAATACAGTCCCACTCTGAGGTACTCGGGGTCAGGGCCTCAACATTTGAATTTGGAAGTACTCCCTTTAGTCCATAACAGGACCTCAAAAACATTTCTTTGGCCTGTGTATGAATGCCCCAAGTGCTGGGTGTCCTGCTCCACCCCCGCCACTTTGGTGTCCAGGGTGATGCGGAGTGAAGGTCTCAGAGAGGGCACTTGTAAGAGCAGCGTGATTGCATCTGTGCCACCCCAGCCACATTGAGCAACTGAAAATCCCCAAGGGGACCAGGCTCGACATGATTTCCTGACAGATAAGGCCGGCAGGGAGGGAGGGAGGGAGGGTATGTAACTTGCCTCGGTAACTGGTGGCCTCCCTGCCAGGCTGCCCAGAAAACACATGATGGACGCCTTTTCTCTTTAGCTCATGCCTGTGGGGCTTGACGAGGAGGAAGCGGGACAGGACCCTCGCCAGGACCTGGCTGGTGCATCATGGAGCACCCGAGCAAGATGGAGTTCTTCCAGAAGCTGGGCTATGACCGGGAGGACGTGGTCAGAGTGCTGGGCAAGCTGGGCAAGGATGCCCTGGTCAACGACGTGCTGCAGGAGCTGATCCGGACAGGCAGCCGCCCCCGGGCCCAGGAGAGCCAGGCTGTGCCCTTGCTCGTTCCCCGGGGCTCCTGTGGGGTCCTGGATGCTGCCCAGCGGGGCCGGGGGTCAGCCCCGGAAGAGGACTGCAGAGGCCCTGCCAGCTCCCTGCGACCCATAGTGATTGACGGCAGCAACGTGGCAATGAGGTAGCTTTCCTTCCTCCTGCAGCTGGGGTGAGGGCCTGTTCTCAGGAGCCCAGAGAACCATCCCTCTTCTCTGTGGTTTGGTCCAAAGAGCTTTGGGGCCAAAGGATCAGGCTTTGAATCCCTGTTCCACCTCTTAGTAGCTGTGTGGCGTTAAGCAAATCACTTAACCTCTCTGAGTCTTTCTTTCTCCAGCTGTGTTGTTGGGATAAAACCTCCCTAGGAGGTAGTTGTGAGAACTGGAACTGCACAAAATGCCTAGGATGGTGCCTGATCCAGAGCAAGTGCTCAGCAAGTGGTAGCTATTACTATGTGAACCTGGAGGAGCAGCCCTTTTCTGGGAAGACAGCAGGTACCTGGGCAGGACACAGGGTCAGGTGTTAGCAGATGTGACTTCTTGTCTGGAGTCTGTCCCTAACCAGCTGCGTGACTCTGGGAAAGCTATAGTACTTGTTTCCTCTTCTATGAAAGAGGCTGGTAGACCTCTCTTTGCTTTCCTCAAGGTTATGGGAATCAGATGGGAAGATGTACTTGAATTGCGTTGGAAGCCCTCTGGGAGCGGTGTTGGGAGGTGGGTTGCGATTCCCTTGTGAGGTTTGAGACGTTGTGGCCACCGAGCTGCAGACATGGCTGTGTGGATATCTGTGTCTTGGCATCTTTGTGTGTTTCGGGGATGTGAGCATCACACCCTGTGCTGTCATCGTGCCCGGCTTGGCTGAGCTCCGCTGTGACAGTGTCTCTGCAGCCTCCCTGCACTCCCCGCTGGGAGAGGAGAGGCATCACCCAAACAAGTGGATTATTCCACCACTTGGCTTAGTGACAGCCGGGCAAAGGGCAGAGCCATGGGAAATTGTTCACTCACAGCTGTAAATACATGCACTTCCCTTTGCAAAAGCTGAGTTACGGGTGGGAATTCAGAAGAGCAGATACCAGCAGCGCTGGATGTGTCAACAGAGCATCCGCTAGTTTCCCCTGGGGATTTGGACTTATTTTGGATTTAGCACTGCAGGACAGAAGTTTGGAATGGCCTAACTCAAGATTATCTAGCCATCCCTACATGCCCTGTGGGGTGAGGGCTGTCCCAACACGACCTGTGTGCTGTGCACTGAGAGTGTTTGTTCAATTTCCAACCAGCTGGGTCGACCTGGCCTTGATTATATCAATTGGTGATGGAGCCCCCTCTTCCCTCTGGGATTTAAGAGCTTGTCCATGGGGTTGCTATCACATTCTCACCCATGTCTCGTGTAGGCACCAGATAGGTAAGCCTATGAAATCCTGCTCCTTTTAAGATATCTGGGGAGTTAAGGGATTTTTAAGAATCTGGTTGGTTCTGAGGGTCCTGGAAAGTCTGGGAGGGGTTCTGAGAGGGGCCTGGCCTCTGTAAAATCTGGACAAGGCACCTGTCTCTCTAGGCATCAACAGAATGAGGGCTTTGAATGTAAGATGTTATTGCTTAAATCGAAGACCTTCCAAGCCCCAAGATTATATGAGTTCTGCAATTCTAAATCAAAACAGCGGAATGGCTGTAGTGTAAAAAGACTACTTCAGGGGCTACGGGAGAGTGTCAGCATTCTCTCTTTGCGGGCCAGATATTTTTTAGGGATTGTTAGGAGAGGGTAGCAGTGGAGGGTTTTCTTTTGATGGGAGTCTCTGTTGCTGCTTAGAGTTCAAACTTAAACCACATCCTCTGTTTGCACATGACCGTGGTGTGTCCTGGGTAAATCCATTTAGTACCCCCACCTCCACAATTGCAATCAGGTAGGTCCCTTCATGCTCAATCTGTGTGTTACAAATGGAAACTGTCACTCAGATTTATTATACAGAGCATATCAGAGCATACACACTTTCATACATGTGCTGCCTACAAGACATCTCAATTAACCAGAACACAGGTATTGAATGTGCTTTCTGTGTATACATATGTGTGTGCACACCCATGTATGTGTACACACACACACAAACATCCCTCCCCGTGGATCCCAATACTTAGGAAAAAGAGATGAACTGCACAACCACCACCTGATGGTGGAACTTAATTTGTTCCTTTCAAAGGCAAACTCTGGGAAAGAGTGGGGGTGTGAGGTTCCGCTCTATCCCCTTCTACAGTGATGTCTACTTTGTCCTCCAATGGGAGTTTCTTTTATTTATTTATTTTTATTGAAATGTATTGATTGATTATACATATTTGTGGGGTACAGAGTTGAATATCAATACATGTATACAATGTGTGATGATATAATCAGGGTAATTAGCATACTTATTAAAAAACTTAAAAAATTTTTTTAATTGTACATGTTTGTGGGGAACAGTTGTTTCAAATCGTGCTATATTGTAAAATGATCTAGTCAGAATAGTTAGCATGTCTGTCACACATACTTATTAAAAAACTTAAAAAATTTTTTTAATTGTACATGTTTGTGGGGAACAGTTTGTTGTTTCAAATCGTGCTATATTGTAAAATGATCTAGTCAGAATAGTTAGCATGTCTGTCACCTAGCCATTTATCATTTCTTTGTGTTATAGCATTCAAGGTCCTCTTTCCTGTCTATCTTGGAATACACAATACAATATAATTACCGTCTCTCTAGGGCACCAGAACGTGTTCTTCCTGCCTGACTGTAACTCTGTAACTTTGGACCAGTCACCAACCTTTCCCTGCCTCTGGTAACCACTATTCTACTCTTTATTTATCTCTTTTTTCCTCTTTTTGATTTAGTTTTCTTAGTTGACCATGATAATTGTATATATTTATGGAGTACAATATGATATTTGGGTGTACTGATACTGTGTGCAATGATCATATCAGGGTGCTTAGTATATCCAACACCTCAAACATTTGTCATTTCTTTGTGTAAGGGACATTCAATGTCATCTCGACTAGCTGTTCAAAGACACATAGTCCTTTGTTGTTAACTGTGGTCTCTCTGTATTACCGTAGAACCCTAGATCCCATTCTTCCTGTCTCCCTACTATTTTGTATTCACTGGCCACCCTCTCCCCTTCCCCCCACCAGTCTCTAATAACCACTATTCTAATCATTACAAAACTTAATCATTTCTTCGAAATGAGGACATTCAAACTCCCCTCTTCTAGCCATTTAATAACCTAATGAGAGTTTGAATAGGACCCATGTCCCTCAGGGTCTGCCAGACCCTCAGTCATGAAAGACAGGTCCAAGCAGACTCACCTTTTACAGGGAATAGTCAGTTGAAACCCAAAGAGATGTCTCATTTTTATCTGTTGACCTCAAAATTCAACTAACCTCAGAAACATAGTTAAGGAAAATTCTCCCTCACTGAGGTTTTGTCATGTTGCAGACATCGCCATTCTCTGTTTTTGAAGGTGACACTGCTTCACAAATTGTCTGGCCTTGGAGGGATGGGGAGGAGCTTAAAGACCCAGTGGGACATGCGTCCTTTCTGCCCTGAGCAGATGAGAAGCGTGTCTTCTGTTGGCAGGAGCATCTTCCAGTGAACCTGTGCCAGCCATGGCTCTGTCCCCTGGAGCCTGGGGTGGCACATGCCTGCGTTCGCAGAGAGCAACAGCCTGGCTTTTCTGCAGCAGTTTTTTCTCATTGTCTTTGGGAAGTTGTGTTCTAGTGCAGACCAACAGACCAACATCTGTATTAGTTTCCTGTTGCTGTTTAGTGACTTAAAAACAACTTAAATTTGTTTTCTTATGGTTCTGGAGGCCAGAAGTCTGACACAGTTCTCTTGAGCTAAAATCAAGGCATCGGCAGAGCTGTATTCCTTTCTGGCAGTTCCAGGGAAAAGTCTGTTTTCTGGTCTTTTCCAGCTTCTAGAGATTGCCCACATTCCTTGTCCCTTGGCCCCTTCTATCATCCAAGCCAGCAGTGGCCTGAAATGATACACAAAGTGGCATGTGTGTACAGATAAGTGTTTCTCTGGGGAGGAGATCCATAGTTTTTAATAGATACTTAGTCTGTGATCCCCAAAATGTTAGGAACCACTGATGTAGAATGAGAAATTATAGACAATGCTGTGCTTTATGGCCAGGGATTTCTTTTTCCTCTGTCTTTTGGGGGGCCCTAAACCACATGCCCCCTGTTAGCACAGTGAATGCTAGAGCCTTGTATCGGATCCTCTCATGCACAGGAAGGGACCTGATGGGCTTGGCCAACATCAGCACTGGCCAGTCAGACCCCAGCCTCCCTAGTGTGCTCCCTGACCATGCCACCGTATGTAGAAGTTTCCATGGGCTTCTTTACCCAATGCTTTGTAATGTCTAGCCCAAGGCTCTTTGTCATGGCTGAACCCAGAAAGCCCAGGCTGACTGCTCTCTGGAAGTCAACAGAATGGTCACTGCCAAGTGCTTTTTACAAGAAATGTGGATGTGTTTGCTCAGAACACAGGAGTTGACCTGCTCTATGAAACATATTTCTGTCCTCAAGTCACTGAAACAGAAGAGAACTAAGTTTGTAGAACTCCCACATAAGGAACCTCCCAAATCTTTTATCTTCTCATTATAACATCAAAAGGAATCCGTTTGACTCTTAGAAGCAGGACTAATGGCTACATTTACTACTTCGTAAGTGGTGGGTCAATGTTACTGAGAATTCTAAGTTGCAGTGTGGGGAGAGCATAAGACAGGGACCTTGGGCTTGCCCCATGATTTGCTACATCTTATTGTGTCCCGCATAGGAAACCAGGGAGGTCAGAAGCAAGGGCGGAACACGGCTTAGTGCAGGGCTTAGTGACCTCTATCCAGGGCTGCCCCATACACTCCCTGCCATGATGGAAAGTTCTAGACCTGCACATCCCTTACAGTGGTCACTCACCATGTGTGGCCCTCGAGCACTTGAAATGTGCTTGTGTGAGTAGGAAATGAATTTTAAATTTTATTTCCTTTTAGTTAATTTGAATTTAAGTGTAAATAGCCACATGTGGTGAGTGGCTCTGTACTGCACCAGCCCACTCTGGCTTTTCGGCCTGTCAACCATGTGGCTTTGAGTGAGTCCCCTGACTTTTTATTTATTTATTTAT